TAGATCATCTCCAACTCATGGTCCCCAACTCCATCAGGTTTATCAGAACATAACCCCAGCATAAGCCAATTCATGGAGATTCCATTAGGATTTTTCAGCTTCTTGATGGCCTGAGGGCCACCCATCTGGCCTTCTGTTTGGACTTTCTGCACAGTGTTCAATACATTACATGAGACATTCCAGCTCATTGCAACACGGGCTTTGTGTTAGGTGTTTTTACCTAACTGTTGGCCAGAGTGAGCCTTCCAAGCACTTTTGGGATAGTCTAGTCTAAGCCACGATGTTCGGAAGGTTAGGTTTATTAAATATGGTTTTTAAATGTTTCATTAGTGCATTGTAGTTATCCATAATATTGGGGTTCATTTTGATATAATTGTGCATGTATGGGACATAATTTGCTCCAATTTAGTCCCCAGGACTTCCTCTTCTCCACCTCCTCCCTGTTCCCCTTGAATGGATGAACTGGAGGGCACCATGCTCAAAGTGAGATAAGGCAGACTCAGGACACCCAGGGCCCACCCAATGTTCTCCCTCATATGTGGAAGCTAAAGAGGAAAAAAAAAAAAAAGAAGTGGGGGGTGGGGAGTTGTAGGGTGGGGTCCCAATGAAAATCAAAGGGAGATCAATGGAGCAGAAAGGGAAACTGAGGAGGATTGAGGAGGGACGGGAAAGGGAGGAACCTCGGAACGAAATGGACCAAGTTATGCTACGTGCATATCTGAATAGGCCACAGGGAATTTCACCTGTATGTACGTCCATGGGGCGGCCGTTAAGTGTGTTTTTGACTTAGGATATTTTCAAATCCGTCGGGTTTATCAGAACCTAAGCCCAGCGTGAGTCAAGGAGCATCTGCATCATGACCTGGAAGTTCCTTTGGTTTATTTCATTCTTTGGTTCAAAAGGCACAAGACAAATTACTTCTCTGACGTCCCAGCAGTCCTCGCTGTCTACCTGACCTCCCCCGGGAGCTTCCCACTGCCGCCCAGGCTTACCTCTTGCTTGTGCAGCCTCCATGGTGCCCAGGGGGCAGGACTGCAGCTAACCTCCCAGCGGAGGCAGTTCCAGCACAGGGAATTCAGAGGGCTGGCTCTGGGAACACCAGCCGGCTTCCTGGTAAATCCCTCAGTGCGGTTTAGAAGTCTGTGGGATGACGTGGGCCCCCTGGAATTCTGTTGCTCTGTATTCATTTAGTAGCCCCTCGGTCTACCCCAGCGTCAGGGCTGAGCTGGAGAAGAAACAGGAGAGTGAGGGGTTCCCTACAAGACCGAACCCCTCCTGGGAAAGGGGCTGGGTATGTGCTAATATCTAGACAACTCTGGGAGGCTCCAAAGTTCCTGGGAGATCTAGGCCATTTCGACAAGCACGGAGCTTAGAGAAATGAGTGATCTGCCTAAGATTTCACACTTGCTTTTGGAAAGGCTAGGGTTAAAAACCTCACATCTGCTGGATTCTACATCATCAGACAAGCATCTGGCCACATGTGAAATAGACAGGCTTTCTCCTGTGCCTCCCCTCCAGCCCCTTGCCCCCCACCCCGGGACCCCACTGCTTCACCCTGGTGGAAGGCAGGTGGGAAAGCTGTGGATGCGTCTACCTATGGGCCATCCCCTTGCACCCTGTCCCAGGCCACCATTCCACCCAGACCGCTGGACTGATACAAGAACAGTGGGTGTTTATCAGAGACCTTGTTCAACATTCACTCAGTAGCCAGGACAGCAAGGGACACAGTTAAATAAAACATCACATTTGTCCAGAACAGTTTTATAATCTGTTAGCTTGAACTGTATGAAGTTGCCAATGTTTGATCATTTCTGACAATCCTGTAGGTTTCCATCTAATAGTGAAATGAGAGCAAGAGAGTGATCGTTTAGTGGGAGCAGATACCACATTATAGAACCTGTGTGAGCTGCTTTCAACTCCTTAAGTAATTTATGTTCTACAATAACAACTTGAGCGACCCTGCCAAATACTGGAGAGTCGAAGAAGTCACTTTGTTTCCTAAGGAGACACTGTTTGGAAGCATCAGAGATGTGTCTTTCATCTCCATGCCCTTTACCTAGACACCTGGACCTGCTTCCTAGCTGTAGCAGGACTGGGATGCTGCTGTGGAAATTGTGGGGATTTGGCCTGGTGGTGGCACTGTGCTGGCCACCCTGGGAGACAGTGTTTTCTGTCATCATAATGGATAATGATCATCAAATGTGATAGTAAAAATATTTTAAAGCCAGCGAGGTTTAGGTACTGACCAGGCAGGACTGACACTTGACCCAACAGCATGGGCGCTAGCTGCCCATCTTGAGGAAGGCCACAGAGCATACAGACAGCACAGTGAGAGCAGAACCCCAGCCTGGCCCCATCTCCTCCCGATTGCATACGAAATGTCTTTGTTATGAACTGAAAATTTCTGTTCCTCCACAATACCTGCATTGAAGCTTTAACCCCCAAAGTAGCTATATTTGGAAATGGGACCTCTAAGGAAGTAATTGAGGTTAAATGTAAGGTAAGGTCCTTGTCCAATAAGATTAGTATCTTTGTAAGAGACCCCAGAAGGTTCCCTCTCTCCCTAAAGGTATATACCATGGAAAGGCTATGTCTGCAAGCCAGGAAAGAAGCCTCCATCAAAAATCAAATATGACAGAACCTTGACCTTGAACTTAGCCTCCAGAACTGTGAGAAAATAAATTTATCTGTTTCAGCCACCTAGTCTGTAGTACTTTGTTATAGCAGCACAAGCAAACCCATACAGGCTTAAATACATTCATTGTCTGTATTTCTTTACCTGCCCACCTGCCCACCTTATGGAGGGCTCAGAAAGGGTTGGGGGTGGAGTGCCACTGGCTTTGGTCCATCCTGGAAGTGACATATGGGCAGCAGACGGTGATGCCTCACAACCGTGACTGACAGCAGCCTGACACCTCCTGCTCCAGAAAGGGCATTATCCAGAGTACACGTTGTTTTTCTCTCACAGAAATGAGCTGCAGCTTCTAGTATAAATAACACTAATTATTGGAGTACTCTCCCCACCAGAGCTCGATTAGGACCTGGAGGTACTGGGACTCAACCTGAGTTCAATGTCACTGTCTCCTGCAGCTGCAGTAGCTCCCCTGCTTTCATTGCAAGGTTAGATGTACTTCTCACAGTTGTTCTGTCTCATCGTGTGCATGTACATGTTGCATGATGCCCATGTGAGCAGCTTAGATCCTTTTTCTTCTCCTAATTAAAAAGAATTCTCTGCAGCCTGTGGGGTGGGGTGCCAGAGAGAAGGAAGTGAGATGCATAGGAACGAAGGGGACTGTGGGGAAATGGGAAAGCCCAGGCCCAGTGGCCAATGCCTGTCATCCGTGGTTACACCCGTGAAAGAGACTCTTTAAGCCTAGAAATGTCTCCAGCCATTTACTTGGACAGGGTCCTCCCAGTTCATTCAGTTGTGCTATTTTCAGAAAAGGTGAAAAGAAGTGCTGCTACAGTAAACCCCGGTCTGTCTTCAAGTCCCACAGCAGGGGAATAAATGAAAGGACAGGAGTGGAGAGGCCCAACCCTTGAGAATGCCCACAGCATGCTCTGCTTTTCCCCTGGAGGGACCCAATGGTGTGCAAAGAGCTCACCATAAACAGAGGATGCAAATGGGTGTGCACACATGTGGTGGCTTAGAGCAGAGGGTGTTTGATTGCGGAGATGATTCTATTGGTGAAGTTTGCACTCTCCGCTGGGGCAATTGGAGGGACTTCTTTCCTGGCTTCTCCAGTGTTTCCCTGTCCTTCTTAACCCTTCCTTAAAATTTGGTGTGCAGAGGCCCAGGCAGCCCTGCACGCCCTCAGCTTGCAACAAGATAATCCAGCCAGAGTCTGCTGCCTGAGAAGAAAGGGTCGTCTTGGCCACAGAGGAGAGGAGAGACAGGGCAGGGGGCCACAGGTTCCAAGAAGAGCCAACACTGGTGGTGTTCACGGTGGCACTGATGATTGGCAGCTGGCCTCTAAGAGGCATGTGTGCCGCTTGAATGTTCCAGTAATAATAACTCTCAGGCGCTCACTGCACTGTGGGTCTTGCACACATGCCCTAATTTGAACCCCAGAGCCAATCTCTGAGGTCAGAACTCTATGGGATCTTTCAGGACAAGGAACCAAAGTGAAAGGCTTTGAAATCAGACTTCCAAAGAAAGCCACATAGCAAAATGCCATTGCAGCCTGCAACTGGTCCTTGGCTTGGAATTCTCTCCCATCTCCCGCAGAATCACCTGGAGTCGAGGGGTGGGGGGGAGGCTGGCTCTCAGCAGGGTCAGCAGAGCACGGTGCAGCCCAAGATTCAGAAAACTAAGAAGCAGTGGAAACTGTTTTACACTGAAGGCTGTCAAGACAAAGCTGAAAAGGAGATACAGAGAGAACAGCAGGAAAGCAGCCCTGAATGTGGAAGTTGCTGCTTTTCTTGGGCAGAGGTACAAACTCCATAGCTCTGCCGTGACCTGAAGGCTGTCACCAAGCAAAGGGGGCAGAGTGGCTTCCAGGACAACTCCTCAATGCCCAGCATTCAGGGCTGCTGTGTAGCTCAGCCCTTCCAAGAATGCCCCCTCCTGGTGACATTCTCAAAGGCCAGGCCATAGCCACACCAGAGGCGGTGGCTTCAGATTCTGGGAAGCTGCTCCTGCAGACCTGAGTCTACCTGTGCGAGCATCTCTGCTCTCTCTTTTCCCTCCTCAGTTCCCAAACGAGTGCTAGGTAAATTATTTTCCTAAGATAAGATACACCCTGGTAGAGTTTGCTTCCTTTTTTTTTTTTTTTATTAACCCTGAATAATACTCTCTATGTCATCTGTATATTTATGATAGCTCAAAGACATGGGTGTGTGGATCTAATTAAAAATGTGAAAGGGTTTAGCAGCCTGCTGCCTCCCTGCAACTCTCTGGTTGCCAAATCTTGGCAGCCGTGTTGAAATGGGGCCAACTGTTTAGTCTTCTGCTGAACGGCTGCCAGGGCGCAGTGCATTGTGGGGCGAGGAGCAGAGCTTGGAGGTGCTGGTGGAGAGGCGCCTGCATGGGGTGAGGCCCGGGTCCTGCCACCCAGAGGAAACCTGAGCCGCAGCAGCTCCGGCTCCCCCTCTGCTGCCCCTCCCCACTGCTTTCCAAGTGCAGGTGGTGAGGCCAGTGGCCTGGTGGGTGACGGCCCTCCAGGTACTTGGAGGAAACTGTCCCCAGGGTGTTTGCTGGCTTGCAGTTAACATGAGGCCTCTTCAGAGGAGAAACTTCTCCACTTCACATCAGCCGTCTCTGGGTGAGTTTCTGCTCAGCTCTAGGCGTCTCCGCTGTTAAGTCTGAACCTCCCTTCATGGCTCGTCCGCTGTGCGGGATCTAGCAACCTTACTGTGCACACATGTCACTGGGGATCCTGAGGAAATGAGGGATTCTGATCCAACAGAAAAAGAGAGAATTCATTTTGCTGAGCTCAGAACTTACTAGAATTGCTTACAACCAAGTTAGAACTCCAGATTCCAGCCTGAGTCAGGGACATGGGGCTCTGGAAAAGGACACCTCGGTGGTTTGCAAGGAGAGAGAAAGCGGGGCAATTCAGAGCTGGGCACTCTCCGTGATGGGTGGACAAGAGAAGTGAAACTGAAACAGATCTAAGGCAGGGTTATTTTTATTTCCTCAACATGTGCCAACAAAAACAACAACAATTAAAAAAAAATTAAACAGGGAAAAAGGATTGCATTCTTTCCATGCAAAAAGGCTCTTTTGCCAAGTGAAAATTCAGCTCTCAGATGATCTTCTAAGACTTTTAGGAAGACAACATTGCCTTCAACCTCAAACCCTGGGTGTTACTGATTTTCCATAATACTTGTGATGCATTTATTTCAGAAGAAGGAGAAAAGAAAGAAGAGGAAGAAGAGGAGGAAGGAGGAAGAGGAAGAGGAAGAGGAGGAGGAGAAGGGGGAAGAGAAAGGGGGGGAAGGGATTATGATTATTATTAGAACTGTAATGATTGTTAGAGGGAAAGATCTAACTATGACCTTCTGCAGGGCAGGGCAAGAGTGTGGAGAAAGCATGAATTTTGAAATACTTCCCTCCCAGGATGGGATTTGGCTCTGGCATTAGACTTAGGGAAAGCAGCTGCCATAGCTGGGCCTACGTGGCCCCATCTGTGAAATGGGGTGATGATGCTGTCACTGCAGTGCAGCTGGACGCACTCTGCATGTGTTTGTGGAGGGGCTCCTACCCAGGGGGCCTTGACAGGCGTCTTACAAATCCAGAGCCTAGGTCCCATGGGACCAGGCCATTACCCCAGATAGAATTGCATCCCAGTAGACTGCTCTGAGCACAAATGTATTCTAAAACCTCTGGATGGGAGCTAATCACTACGGAAGTCACAGAGCCTCAGTTCCAGATATCAGAAGAGCCCCCCAAAATGAGACCCTGGGGAATGGCAGAGAATGTTCTCTTTCTTTTCAAATGACAAATTTATACATGTGAAAAGTTTGAAACGACATGCCAAATAAATCACGAGTAGTCATAATATAGCTGGTCACCTTTATTAGGAAACAATAAAATGCATGAAGTCGGTAGGGTGCAGGGAGGTGCAGGTCACAAGAGTCCCTGTACGATTCTTTCCTCCTGTCCTAAGTTGGCACAGCAGCTCTCTTGCTCATGATTTAGACAATGCACAACTGGCTGCTTCAGTCACAAAGAGAGAGACGATTTGCTGGTAAGATCCTCTGCTTTTTCTAGGAAAATTCCACTCCAAGATTCTGTATGGACTCTCATCCAAACACATGGCAGGTGATCGTCTAAACCACCCAGGGAAGGTGCCAGAGGTAAACATCTAATTAATTAAAGAAAACCTCCCTCCCCACCCCAACCTGGAAAAGGCCCTGCCATGGAGAAGTGCTCACTCTCGCCAATGCACGCTCACACACGTACTTTCCAAACCGCTTCCAGGTGACTGGTCCGCAAGCGGCCTGCCTCTGTTAATTAAAGTCTACAAACCTTCAAGCCCATCGCCCTTCCTTGGTTGTCTGCGTGACCACAACCCCTACGCTCTTCCAAGCAACATTTGCTCCAACTTAATATTCTGGTGCTTTCGGGAACATTTAAAAATAAACCATTTTGGCACATTGTCAAAGTCTTGTCTACATTCCTTCATGACAACCACCCTAAGTGAGATTTTAAAAGCCAAAGGGAGGTGGGGGCGGGGAAGAAAGGAGTCCCCTCCCCCGCCTTTAGAGTGATAATTTCAGCTGGTGTCAAATGAGCGTGCATTCTTCCTGTTTTGCCCAGGTTTAATTGCCCCTCGGGTGCTCTGGGCATCCTGGGTTCATCCTTGACTCCTTGTATCCTTCTCGTTTTTTCTCTTCTTGGAGCCGGATCACCTTGATGGATGAGAAAGGGGCATTTGAATGCCAGGAAAATTTTTGCTATTGTTGTTTTGGTCCCCAGCTGGCCACAGGAGGAAGAAGGGCTGGACAGGGAAGGGGCCCCAGGCGGGTGCTTCAGTGTCGTTCCTGGTCCTCGCTGGTAATCGCTGCAAAACAATCCTGTCTGCTCCCTTCCCATCCACAACCTACTCTTCCTGGTCTGTTGCTAAGAGACCAGCCTGTTGTTTACAAGATCCTCCGTGGCGCGTAGACTTCCATAATTTATAATTTATTATCTTAGTGTCAAAACTTGTGTTGGTTTTTATTTTATTTCACCATAGATCCAATAATTGTTAGATACAACAAAGGTCAGGCGTCTGCCGGTGGTGAGGCTGTGGCTTCCATAGTGGCCCTCGCCACCCCCATGTTTAGGTGCTGCCAAGGAAAATGCTATTATAAACTGAAGATGAATATCATTTTTTGTCCATTAACTTCACGCATTCTATGACTGCTCAGGTCAATGGATTCCCTCAAGATTTGCTCACTATTGAAAAACATGTTTCTGTCCAGCCAAGAAGGAAATGAATTGACATGATTTCAATTATCCCAAGAAAGGCGGGGAGCCTTCCGCCGGGCACTCCGACACCTCGAGCGAGGCTCCACTCGCCAGCCTCTCCCCACAAAATTCAGGGCCGCAGACGTCTCCCTAGCACGCCTCCTGGGCCATCATAGGGCTTCAGGAGACACAAAGCCACCCCGAGAGAGCATTCTCCTCCTAGAGCCATTCAGCTAATTCAGAAAGAAGTGAGGACATGGAAGGCAGGAAGGGTCGTTACAGGCACACAGCTCAGCAACACCTGGCCACTTACAGAAGAAGACGAGAAATGGGAAACACGTCATGATCGCCACTCTTGTGTATTGTGCCAGGCGCAAAGCTAATCACAGACCCTGGAGGGACTTAGAGAAAGCTCCTACAAACCCAGGGGGTCCCAGCCTCATCCCCACTGTGAAGACAACAACACTAGGGGCTCTGTGACCTTCAGTAAGGCACCAACGACACACAGTCATTAAGTGGCAGGATGGAACTGGAGCCAAGTGAATCTACAGCACTTCTTCCCCCAGAAAAAAATATCAGCTCGGGCTTTGCAGTTTGTAATCTGTTCAAGGAGGAGAGTCCGGCATGCATTTGACAGAGCAGGGAAATTAACACAGGTCCCTAAATTGGACACCACCTTATCTTGCAGTCCTGAGAATCTGTCTTGGAAACCACAGAGCATGAAAAATTTCTAGGAAGGGCATTTTGTTTTCCCCATCAAAGGACCTGGAAAATTCTAATGGCATTTTACTGGGAATTAGATATTTGTCATTTTCCAGAAGGCCACTGCGGCAATGATCCATACCAGAATTGTGCACCACTCAATTCTTACCCACTCCCCAGTGGGTTCATGGCTAGGACAGAATACTGTAGGAGGACCTCCCTGACGCTCTCCAGCTGGGGTTGGAAGTCTCTTTTTGACTACTGTGATGGGAAGAAGAGAGAAGACCAACTCGGGACCAGGGACGTTAAAGAGGCAGTCAGCACTTAGGACAGTCTGACCATTTCTCAGACTTGCTGTCCTTCAGCTCCCAAGTAGACTCCTTTTCCCACCACAGCACAGACATGTGGATAGAGACCCACAGGCACACCCTGAGCATAGAGCAGGGGAGGGCACCTCCCCCAGGTTAATTTGAGACCACCTCCCTGAAACTGGAACAATGCTGACGGGGAAGAAGAGGTCCCCTTCATTTTAGCAGCTACATGATCTATGGGCTCCCTGTTCGAGATGAACGATCAGAAGTTTGAGATTCAATTCCGATAAACTGAGGTGGATCATTTAATGTCAAGATTCCTAGTTTATACATTTACAAACCCTGGGATGATCATCACCTTCTTCTCAGGAAGAGAGGATTAAAATTGAAAAATGGGTACAACACAGAAGTGGAAGGTGTGGGGTTATGCAAATGTGATGGTCTTTACTCGAACCTTGTGGTCAATAAAACATCCAAAGCCTGGTGGTCTCTCAGCAGTGTGGTCTGAGTATGGGATCCACTGCGTCAATACCACTGAGTGCTGTGGGTTCGGACTTGGACATCTGAGACCTTCCTGCCCATTATTCACAGCACTTGGAGTGCGGGGGTGGGGGGGCAGCAAATGTGTCAAAAAAAATTCTCAGAAGTATCCACTTCTATGAGACTAAGATTGAGGTCTGTCTTTTCAAATGATAAAACTCATTTTCCTTATTTGTAAATTAGGGATATTATCACTCAAAACTTGAGGCTGTCCCAGGCCATCTGTCACTCATGAAGGACTCAGTACATAGGGAGGAATAGAAGGTGAAACGTGGCGTCCATGTCAGCAGGCACCCACATTATAGAAATGCAGACACAAAGCCCCTCTGCCCCTCCACTGACGTTTACTCTTCCTTTGGGTGTATAACATCCAGCAAGCTAAAGCTCAGGAAGTAGAAGGGTCAGCCAACTGTTTTACCAGGATGCTGTTCAACCCTCAGCATGATCAATGAATAAAGAGAGTACGATGTAAAGAAGGAATAAGCTCCTAGGGACCCAGGGTGAGTTGATGCAATTTTCAGAAATTGGTTCCCCTACCTGAATTATCCCCTGCCTGCCTCTGAAACGGTGCCCCTCTGCCTTTCTGGGAAAGCAAACTCTTCCACCCAGAAGCCTAATGTGCCACCTGGGGTTTCCAGCTCCAGATAACCCCAACCACGCATCCCCCTCATTGATATCTAAAGTCCACTGATCCCCTTTCCCAAGTGTATCTCCTCTGCTAATAGCTCTGAGGTGTCCAGGGCAGTTTCTGAAGATAGTGCTCTACACAGGGCGGGATGATGCCTCTCGCCTTCCCAGCCAGCTCTAAGGGTCCCTGCCCTTGGGAGATGGAGCTCCCTAGCACAGGCTCCTGCTCCAAGTCTCCATGTGTCCCTTGTCCTCTAGAATCCCATCACCACGAGCCCTTTGGATCTGCAGTGTGGAATCGCTGCTTGCTCTGCCTGCGTTTCCCGATGCCCGTGGGTCTGACTCTGCACCTTGCGCCCTGCGTGCTTAGCACGATTCTCCTTTCCCAGCGAATGCTGCTTAGTCTCTGAGACAGCACTCCCTCTCTGCTTTCTCTGAATTCTTTGTGCAGTTCAACCAGCTCCCTTCGTCTAATTCACCTCTTGCATCAGCAAAACCCTGACTCCTCCCTCCCTCCTCCTCGAATGCTCCTGGGTCCTGCTGTGGGTCCCCCTCATGGCCTTGCTCTTGGCTTCTTCCTGGCCCCAATGTGCTTCTCAGGGGCTCCCAGGGCTGTGTTTCTTCACTAGCCACTGGATGACCATGTTCCTGAAGGCTTGCATAGGCCTTTGAAAGACACCATGATAACTTCTGTGGTTGGAGGCCTGTCTCTCCCCGGACTGCACTCCATCCTATACCACGGCTCCAGGGCTGCGGCGCCAGGTCAGCTTCTCCTCAGACCACAAGCCTCGGCTTTCACGTCTGTGAGGGCTGCCTTGAGACGTGACGAAGCTATCACACAGAGCCTTCAGTGACTGCCCAAGTCCTATCCAGGGCCAGTGTCCTTGGACCAATGGCACCACACACGTACCAAGCCAAGAATCCTAGACTCCTTTACGGATCCCTTCCCCTACATCAACCCACCCACGTGACGAGGACTGTGGATTCCACCTTTTCAAGTCTCTTCCATCTCCCAACCCACCACCGTCAACCCCAACTCTCTTGGTTCTGGCTGAATCATCTCTTCTCTGGACGTGAAGTAAACCCCGAAGCCAGCCCCTGCCTCTCACTTCACCCCTCCCATCCATTCCCGAGCTCACAAGCAGGAGGATCTTTCTACAGCACCCACCTTACCATCAATTTTCTTTCTACGACTTCTTGGGGTTCCTTTGCTGAATCAGGGTCCTCTGCAGAAGCATAGGACCTGATTCGCAGAGACCTCGTCCTGGTTTGAGATGACTCTGGTTCCTGGGTCTTGCACCTTCAGGCTTTGGAGCCATGCTGAGGTCCTCGAGTTCCTGCCCTGGGCTCTGCTCTCCCAGGGGTCATGGCCTTCACCCATGCTGCCCTCCTCCCAACCTCATTTAAGCCCTGGCAACCTCCAGACGCTAGGGTCCAGTTTATTTCGCAGGGTGCTTGGTCTCCCTTGCCCACCACTGAATCCCCAAAGTCATGAAAGCCTGCAGGAAGTCAGTGGAAACATATTTGAACAAATTATTATTGGCTTTCTTTTTTCCTTGAGATCAACTCTGGATTTAAATTGGTAGAATTTTGCTGCAAAAAACTACATCTGTCTCCTTTTCCTACCCACCAATCTGAGCCCTCGTCTCTCTCCTCCTTCGACATCCCTGGGTTCTACGTTCAGTAATGTGCTTGCTTTCTGTTTCTAACTTGTGCCAAGATTTCTTCCACAGAGATGCCCTGTATCCTGAGGCTGCAAGAAGCTGAGGGCTTCTGTTTCTGACCCTCGGGTTCCGCTTAGAGAACCCACCTAGGATTCATGAACACCACGGGGCACTTTTATGTCACATTGTCACAGTAATGGGGACAAACTGTGTTGGAGCAGGTCTTCTGGGCTGGTCCCCACTGCTTGTATATGGTTCCTATCTTCCAAAATCATTTTGGCAGTTTTTAAGAGTAGATTTTTAGCCCTCCCCCAAATTCAAGTTCTTCTGAGTCAAATGATTTTCCTAAAAAAATAAAATAAAATAAA